GTTCAAGGCCAGGTTGGATGAAGCTTTGAGCAACCTGGTGTAGTGGAGGGTGTCCCTGCCCATGGCAGCAGGGTTGGAACTAGATACCTTTGAGGTCCCTTCCAATCCAAACCATTCTATGATTCTAAATACTGATTTTAATATGTTTGTGTTTAGCCTTTAACTGCTCTTCATCAATGAATATAAACCCAGCCAATCTTCAAAATATTTCAAGGCAGTATATTCAGTTAGAAACAGACAGAACCATAGCATCTACGATACACTAACCCATCAGGTTATATTAGGCACTAGTATATACTAACCAGTCATTTCTACAGCTGAAAAAGGATTGTTCATTGCTACCACCAGCCGGAAGCGTGCTGAAGAAATTAGTTCTGAAGCACTCATTCCAGCAGGTCTGTGTTCTGGGCTACAGAAAAAAATTATGAATTAAAGGCATTAAAAATAATTAAAATTTAATACATGAATTTCAGTTGCACTGAAATTAAATCATGTCAGCAAGACACCTCACGCAAAGCAGGCAGCACAAGTAGCTAGTTACATGCTAAGATTTGCAGTCACAGCAAACAAATTTTCTTTATTCAGTCTCTAAATTTTCAACACCTGCTCTTTGCAGATAAACTTTATAGTTTATACAGGCTTTCCACAGCAAAATCTTTAACGCTCCATACAGAAATTATGAATTAATGAGCCTGATCTTTACTATTTCACAATTCCCATTTCTGCTGCCTAATGAACCAAAGTACGTACAGCGTTAGCACCTTCAGACAGACCCCTTCACAGCAGTTCACTGAATGTTTGGTTTCAGACTAACAAGAAAACCTATTGTAAGTAGCTGGGATTCTCCTTCGCCTTCAGATAGAATTACAAAATCGAAGACTGACTGGTGCGCATGTTTACTAGACCCTCACACAAAGGCGAGCTACTCAGAATCCACTTCATACCTCAAACACCACCTTCCATTTCAGTTGTTAACAACGCCTAGCCACCCGCCATTTGCTAGCATATTGCCTTTTGCAGTAAACTCTGCTGCTGTGTGCCGGGCTGGCGGCATGGAAAAAAAAGCCAAACAACAATTCTCCAGACACTTTTCCCAGACCACCAGACTGACACACTTAGCTATGCTGAACCATTTTTGCCATTTATATCCTGCCACCTAAAGGGTTAACACCACCTCAAACGTGATTAAACCATTCTTGTTCATTCCTTGTGACCGGTATTTTAAAATGGGAATTTGTAGAGCCTTCCCGCCATTTTCTTTCAGAATGTATTTAGTCTGAAGAAAAATAAGCTTCGTAATGGGATGCATATAAACATATGTCTCAAGCATGCAGTCATTATCCATATGCTCCATCAAACTTTGGCACAGAGAGCTGGTTTTGATGGGAACATGTTCTACTTCACCAGTGTGCAAATCGTAAGTTTCTTCTAAAAAGCTTCTGGTTTTAAATTTTATTTTAAAAATAGTATCATTTTGAACATGAACACTTCTCCCTCCCTCTAGAAAAGCTATCCAGATGTTCCACAAATATCCTTATGAAGTTGTTGTTTGTAAATCAATGCTTTCTTTTAAATTCTTTTAAATTGTGAATGTTTGTTGGATAATTGAGTCCTATTCCTCCTCCTGAAGGTTTTTAATAGCTCTACTTTTGTTTATGGACCCTTTTTGCAACAGGTACCATTTGAGACATTAATGCTATTAAATAGTGCACAATAAATCAGTGAAACTAGATACGAAAGCACTCACCAACCTTGAAGTCAAATTAGAGGTTTATATATGAGTAAGTCCTATCCTTCCAGTTCAAAACCTCTTCAATTCAATGAAAGGTATCTTCAACTTTACATGGTACCACAACCAAAATTTCCAAATACCTGACTTAGAACGGGAAGGTTGGAGCTAAAGATATCCCTGAGAACTATGGTGTATAAGCACCAAATGAAAGTGACAACTCAGGCCACCAGCTACTGAAAAGACACATAATGTAGTATGTGCCCATATACTACATGGAGCAAGGCAGCAGGCAAAACAGGGACTTGAAGACAGTTTTTCCTCCAAATTTTTAATCTTCAGGTAAGACAGAATGATGAAGAATGATGACATTTACACTTCAGAATGAAATTTATGACCTAAAACTATTTCATGCAAATATATTTACAGGTACAACTATGAGTAAGAAACCACTGATCACAAACTTGTGTCCCAGACACAAGAAATGTTTTTGAAAGGAGGGAAGGCAGAAATCAAATAACTGAGCCTTTATAGCTCCTTATAAATTCTGCACATTATAAGCCTGTGTTATAGGCTAAAATTAATGAACTAAAAAAGAAACCTGGAAACACAAACATTCTTTGGAGTAATCTCCCATTAAAAAAAACAACTTGACACAAACTATAATGTCCATGGCTTATTCATGTAACAAATTGCTTGGTTGATTAGAACTATGTATTTTCATGAAAACCTTCATATAATGGTACTTGGCTAACAGCTTGTAGCTGATATCATCTTCTTCTGGTGAAAAAAGAGGAAAACAGGGTAGTTACAGTATCTTATAACGTAACATCCTAATGTAAATGAAAATATTTACCACCACAAAACTAAGTTTAATCTGAGAGAGAAGCTCATATAACCTAGCAATATATTCTAATTACTTCCTTCAAGACAAAAAGGAACAAAGTTTGGATCATACTAAACTCAACCAACAGAAGTAGTTAACCTTAAGAAAAAGTACAAAGGCAGTTTTAGAAACGTTTTCATGAAAAAAATGTTTACAAAATGTTTCATTATCAGAACCAACCTTGTTTGTTTTCACAGACAAAGCCTTCTTGTTTTGTTTGCCATAAAAAATATTACCTGTATGGAATAAGAAACAAAACTTTGATCTTAACTTTAGCATATTAGTTTTTAATTGTTTGTCAAAATCACCAATGCAATGAGAGGTTAATGAAAAATATATAATGAAAAAAGTGTATTTACAATGTGTTTACATACAAACTGAGTAAAATTAAAATGCATGCACCTTCACTATAGCTTTTTACATATCGGTTTTCACCTCTTCAGATACCTGCTTAGTTTCATAAGTTATGAACACACTTACTGAACAGTATCTATTAAACAAGCCTCTCAAAATGGCAGCCTCAAAATACAGCTAAGTGCTTCTTGTGTATGAACTGTCACAAAAAATTTCCTGTGAATAAAAGCTAGTTATTAGCTGTGCACCAACTGTCTGATGCAGAAAACGACTTTAGGTTGAAACCAAATCTATTTCACTTGTGACTGAAATTGAAGAGGCACTCTCTTCAGTGCAGTAAGAACAGTAGTTTCACATACTGCAATTTTTTAAGTTCCACACTTCTATTGCTTGGTATTTGGTTTTCATATGCAAATGTAAGTAATTAAAAAAATATTAAATTGGCTTATCAAGAAAAGAAATTCTAGAGTTAATAAAAACCAGCCATTCTAGCAAATGGAGGACAAATACCAACTTACTGTATTTTTTCTTCACAATTTTGCTTAATTTTGCTTTTAATGGCCCTCTGTCTGGACATACAGCTCTTCTGCAAGATTAACAAAAGATATTACAAAAGTTACTTCTGGGCATAGTTAAGCTAACAGTACAATACTTTAAACCAAAGTCAGCTCCTATTTTAGGAATTTTTATTTTGTGCACACAAAGTAAGGTCTGACTGATATTAAAACCTGAACTTGCATCATTTGTATCACCTTCCATATGTTAAAAGTCACAGAGCTTCAAAAAGCTCATAGACAGAAAAACAGAAAATCCATTTACACAAGAAAAGTTAATATCCTGTATTAAATTTGAATGCTAATTTTGCTTGATTTCATGGCAACATGTGAAAGATGTTATAACTTGCTTGCATAAATACTCTGAAGAAGATCAAAGTCAATAGTGATTCAGAATGGTCAGGTGCAAAGAACAATCTTATTTGTTTTCTAATGAGAGTCAAAAAAGGTAATTTACTTCCAGTTATCTTTTCTGTAGTGAAGTCTGCTTCAAATTCAATCTCAAGAGCTCTGTATATATCATACATTCCATTAAACCCTGACTTTAGATTATCACTATTTAGTGAAATTTGTCTGTGTAATACTGAGCTTCCCTTTATACAATGCAGAAAATGTGACAAGACAAAGCTCCTCAAAACAGGAATGGTATTTCCACAGTTCCCTTTCAAACTCACTAGAATAAAATCAGTTCCTGACTACAACTATGCTTTATAGTACAAGAGGAACACTACCAGTGTCTATCACAACATGCAAGGAAAGGGATATCTGTTTAGATAACCAAAGAAAAAAATTTCTATTGTTAAAATATGATGGAGCCATAAAATCTTATTTCAAATTAATAAAAAATCTCTTAGAATTGCTTGAAAAATGCAACTTTCACAGAGCTCAATGCAAGAAATACCTTGCTCCTTACTTCTTGCTTGCTACTGTAAAAAACATTCAAGTGGGAATGACATCAGTGATAAAAGTAAAGCTAAACTACCACTGACAAAAAATAGTTTATTTAAAAAAAACCCTTAATTTAAAACAAATTTTCAAGGTGTTCATTTTAAAACAGTTGAATATATATTTTGAATATTCCAATTAGAATACTTGAAATTAAGTGGATGACCAACCTCACAAAACTCCTTATCTTCGCATGGCTATATTTTCCCTTGTTGCAGGCACAGTTTTCCTCTTCTTCCTTTCTCCTTAGTTGTTTTTTAACCTGAACCTGTGTTGAAAAATAAAGTCAATCCAAACTAAAATCTCAACACACATTGGCTTTAAATACATTCAAAGACTCTTAAGGTCTACAGAGAAAATAAGCTCAAACGGAAGGACTCAAAACCATTTCAAATAATTACTTCTTTAATGTCACAGTTTGCAGATTTGAGGTTTTTCATTTGTTTTTCATGAAATGGAAAAAACCCACCTTGATATGTATATATTGGCTATGCCAGAGATGCGTAACAATTCCACAAGACAAAAGAATTCCTGAACATTCATTCTGCCATGGCAAGTATCTCAAAGCTATGCACTATCTTCCATTGAGAATTTGGAAACTAAGTTTTATAAACAAAAGTTGGTTGATCTGAATACACAAGGTTCAGATTGGGAAAATGCTGAACTACCACTCAATTTCAAATGCTTCCTCATAATTAAAAAACACACAATTTTCTTCTATAGTAAAATAACTTATGGATTTCATATAACTTTTTTTTCAGCATCTCCAAAATCCTAAGAAAGCAATACAACTTTCATAACATAGTATGAAGTTATTTCAATGGCTACATTGCAATTGTTTGCATTGGACACTTTGTATTTCTTTGTTCTAGAATCTTGGCTTTATATGCAACTCCTTAAGCTATTAGCAGTCTAATTATGAATATCACAAAGGGAAAGCTGCCAATGTCCAGATAGTGCCCCTGCTAATACTGACCACCGTGTCAGCATTTCTATACGCATTCCATCTGTCCCTACTGCTCCAGAGGCTCTTTTTCAGAGCAGGACCCTAGTTCTCTGCCCACCTGTTTAGACTGCAGTTCTATGAACAAAGAACCTTTAAAACTATATTTTGATACAGCCTTTATACTCTTCCCAATAAAAACTTCAGATTATCTTGTTTCAGCTGCTTCCTTGATTAATGAGAAATAAAAAAAATAAAATATGCTAGCATGGTTTTCTACAGGAAGGAAGTATCTGTGGCTGTCAGTCTGGCTTCTTTGCAGTTGACTACCTGGGCCTCTAGAAGCACAAGAAACAGGTAGCGGGAGCATATTTTCTAAATGTAGCAAAATGCAAAACCAACAGTTTAGGAACTACTTATAGCCATAATTTCACCACAGAATTTCAAAACGTACACAGAATTATCAACATCTTTCTCTATAATTTTTCAAGATCATTATCAGAATAAGTTTTATTTTCCTACTTGATAAACTACTCTCCACAGCAGTATTATTCAGAAGAGCCGAACACTGAAAAAAAAAGCCAAAATTTAGGTTGAATAAGGCTTTGCATTGATTCCTCTCGCCTTCATGTGTTTTTGCCTGTGAACTGGAGGCTGTGAACATACAAGATTCACCTCAGCTGAAAAAAAAAGGCAAGATTGCACTTGATAGAGTACGTGTTTACAAAACCTGGTTGAAAAAACACTTTGAGGCCAATTACTATATTTCTATTCTTGGATATATCAAGGATACTATAAAGTAGTTATAGCAGCTTTGTCATTATTATTACTGTAAATGTTTGCTTAAAAAAAATAATTAAGAATAATTCCTAGCATCAAATATGTAATAGAGACATTAAAACAATAATTATTTTGCTAGGAAAGCTTATTTAACACAGATGTATGAATAAAAGGCTGCAGCATAACCCGGCTGTTCCTACAACTGAAGTTATTTAAGAAAATAAGTCTAGAACTTACCTTTATCTGCTGTTCTAATGCATCAAGCCTGCATACTGCTTGAAATGGTCTGCGATCAATAGGACATGAAGCTTGTGTCTGAAAAATTATTTTTCTTATTATAAAATTTGTAATAAGTTAGGAGAAGTCTCAATTTCCTAAACTTTTATTTGTTATTATAGAAGCTTACAGAAATATACAGAATTACAACTTGTTCACAATAAGAATGTATTTGCATACATTATGCATACACTCAGTAACTTGTTTCATATAAGTGGATTCCTCCTTAGGGGAAAATCTAAAAGAAACAAGAATGTAACTCAGAAGCTGTGTTCAAAAAAATGAAAATAATTTTACATCATTACCTGTGTTTTTAGATTTTTTTCATCCCTGTTAGGTTACTCTGATTTTACACTAATACACAAATATCCTTTTTATTTCTTATTATTGCAGTGTTTTATTTCTTAATGTTCTTTTCAAAAGAAAGTGTGTTGAGTTGTACATCCCCTAAAACATAAAACTGGGAAGGCCAACAGCAAACAGGGTAACACCTTCCCTCATCTTGCTTATCTATTTGATTATACCACACCTCTTTTTTGCAGTCAGCAGAGAGAACAGACTCCCATGTTCAAGACATCTGAAGTTTTACAAATGACTTTGCAAAAGAATGGAACTGAAGAAGGTTATTTTACCCTACAGTTTGATGGGAATACAGATTTAATGTTTTTCTTCCCCAATCACTAAATACCAGATGTAGTGCAACCTCAATAAGAGGGTAACATAGAATTGTCTGGTTGGAAGAGACCTTCAAGATCATCGAGTCCAACCATTCACCCTGCACTGTCAGGGTCCCTAAACCATGTTGCTCAACACCAAATCTACACGGTTTTTAAACACCTCCAGGGATGGGGACTCCACCACGTCCCTAGGCAGCCTGTTCCAATACTTCACAGCCCTCTCTGTAAAGAAATTCTTCCTGATATCTAACCTAACTTTCCCTTGGCACAACTTGAGGCCATTCCCTCTTGTCCTGTCATTCATAACGTGGGAGAAGAGACCGACCCCCATCTCCCTACAACTTCCTTTCACATAGTTGTAGAGAGCGATAAGGTCCCCCCTGAGCCTCCTCTTCTCCAGACTAAACAGTCCCAGCTCCCTCAGCCGCTCCTCATAAGACAAGTTCTCTAAACCCTTCACTAGTTTTGCTGCCCTTCTTTGAACCCGCTCCAGCACCTCAATGTCCTTCTTGAAGTGAGGGGCCCAAAATGCACACACAGAACAATAAAATATTATTAACCCATAGAATAGGGAAGCTTTAACTGAAGCTCCACCCAACTGGATCATAAAGTGAATCAGCTTTCAGAGAAATCCATATTAGATATTAGTTTTTCCTGCTAGACAACTGTTTACTCATTTTAATTCCATATGTGTTTGTGCAGAGTTTGCAGGGCTTGCTTTGTTTGGCTTGGTTTTTTTATCCTCCCTCCCTTCATCCCACTGGCCTTCACAGGCACACTTCAGAACTCTTACAAAACAAAAAAAAACCACCACACTCCCCACCCAGTCTCCAACCCTAATTCATTCACTGAACAAGAATCAGTATATGAATAGTATGCCCTGAAGTGGCATGCAATTTCTGCCCTGAAGAGAACTGTCAGGGTATTACACTTTTTATTTATGGAAGCAAGACACAGTATTAGAATTGCATAAGCAGCTATGAGCAATTTGTGTACGAACTCTGCCCTGAAATTCAGTGAACTTCATCCTTGTCCTTTCACTGGGGCTTTTAATTTTCCAGTTGATTCTGTTCTTTTCTTGATTTCAAAGAGTGTTCAATGGCTTTTTCATGTACATAGCCCCCAAACCTCAAGCATTCAGGCAGCTTCTGATTTCAATTGAAGTAGACTGAAAAAAGTTAGACATTAAAAAAAAAAACACACCCCCAAACAAACCCAAAAAACCCCAGGAGTAGTTTCATGAACAAGTTGTTCAACACCAACGTAAGTTAAAGCCATTACCTCTCCCTTTGATGCTCTGCTATTTTATCCTAACAAAAAACTTTCCCCGTTGGGGGATACCATTGTTCCCTGCAGTGTCATCACCTTGGTTAAGAAAAGTGTATTGGGTAATTAAGTCAGTTCCCTAAGGACTCAGATCATGAAGACAGTTTTTGTTCTGCAGTCAAGGTAAAGCTAACCCACAGTAACATTGCAGTGCATTGTTCAGTTGGGATATTTGATAGTATGCAATGCACTGTAACTGCTGAATCAGCTGCAAACATCAAGATAAATACTTTGATTCCTAGATATACCAGACCATCAAAGATAGCTAGGAGGAAGTTGATTTTCTTAATTCATTTTCAGTCTCATTTCAGGATTTACCTTAGCTGAAAAGTAAGTTCTTCCAAGAATACAATCTATTTCTACATTAAATTTAGACATGAATATTAAGTTATGTTTTTAAGTTTAGTCACAGTACATTATGTTTATTCTTTGCAATGAAGTATCATAGAACACTGTTACTAGCAGCAAACCAAATGACAAGTGCTTTCGCTCCATTAGAAAAAATGTTCACTGTTACATGTTCAGTTCTTCTAGGCAAATGTTTAACAATGACATACAATTACATACAGCAGTAGAAAAAGAGGAAAACATTCTGGAAGAATCAAAAACTACCGTCAGGTTCAGATACGTTCAGAAACAGCTTGTGGCAGGTGGGTTGGAACTAGATGATCTTTGAGGTCCCTTCCAACCCAAACAATTCTATGATTCTATGTTCTTTCCATTCCTACTCAGTTGCTTTTCATAGCCCTAGCATTATCTGATAGCTCGCAACTGATCTCAGAAGAAATTCTGGTAAAGACAGGACAGTCCCTTATGCACCTACACAACCCCCAGCGCAGTAAAATCGTTGTATATTGTATATATATATATTTAAGTATAACACTATATAGATAGATATGTGTATAACACTTTTGTCTAAACATACATCAGCTCTCATCTGTCCACTAACATATAAGAACAAGACTTTAAAGTGGAAATGGAAGTAAAAAGTTTCTGCTGTCCCTTTTCCCAACAGTAAGAATGAATTTGTGCTGCTATAGAAAAGAGTAAGGGTAAAAGCTGACTACATATTTATAAGAATCAGTCATGAGGAGTGGTGGCCTTTTACTCATCTCTCTCGTCTTTTTTGAGAATATGGTTCATTAACCAAAGAAAGTGTTGAGTCTTCTTTCTTTCAAGGCAATTCCTCTCTTCTGAAGTGTCTGTTCAGGTAGTGTCATAAGTAATAGTGAACATACACTGTCCTTTTGGGCGAAAAAAATAATTGAAACAACAAAAAAGCCATCGAGATTGAATGAGTCCAAGCAGCAGCTATCGCTTTTATTGTGTACAAGGGAGGAGGAGTGTGGGATGCGTTGTCACAACCTTAGAAGAACCACAGCTTCATACAATATCTTTAACATAGCTGTTTAAAAATCAGAACATGTAGTATTTAATGGAATCAACAAAATCATTAGAACCTCACAGCTGGTATTTGTGAGTTGGTTTGCTTTTCTTCCCAACAGTGCTTTTCTTGGAAAAACACAGAATAGTAGCTCAGCACACTTCAAAATGCCTTTGTTTCACTCTCCACATGAAACTCATAGTTCTCATGTTAAAACTGGTAACTCTGTAGTGATTCTTTCTTTCACTTATCCTGTAATACTCTGAGAACACTCTTCATAAAACACACAAGTATATGCATGTGTATGTTTCGATGACCCTCTAGAAAAATCTTTTTTTACCCTTGTTTTGGTTTTTAGGTTTATTGTTTCTTTGAACACACTGCATATTTGGTTCATGAATGTATCTTAATCTGCTCACAGTGCTCTGTACTGCAGATCACTGTGTATATCTTACTGTCACATAAGCTGATTACTTCCTATATCCTTTAGGACAAAAGAAATCCAGATCAGAAAGAATACACATTAAGAATTCCAGCTACCACACAGGCAACAGTCTTTACCCTCAGAAGAACTTACATGTGCAGTATACTCTACATAATCAATGATCCAAACCTTATGCCAGCACAAAGAAAACAACTACGATTCTAAGAACAGAACATCTGCAAGAAACATAACACAAGACAGCTCTTTGTGTCAGCTGCTTGGTTTTATTAAATTAATCACTAATACTGCAAAGAGTGTGCCTAAATATACCCCAATGCTTTGGAGAATTTACTGAGCTGAACATATGCCGCTCTGAAATCCTCCAGATGAGGAAAAATGAATGAAGGAAACCAGGCGCAGAGACTGAGAGACACAAGCTTAGTAGGGGAGGGTCACTGAAATAAATGCCTCTTACACTATCATTGTGATAATGCAGACAAGACACTGAGTCTTTTCTTTAGTGCTCGTCTCTCATGATGGTTCGTAAGAGGAATTAATACAAGTAGCAAGGATAGAAATCTCCAGTATATTTACTAGCACTACGAAGAACACAAGAGAAGTTAAAAAGCCTACAGTAAAGCAGAGTAAGTATTTATCTCCTCTAATTTAAGACTGTTTTCTTTGCCTAGAACACAAAAAAGTAGAGAGTTTTCCTCTAATGCATGCAAGCAAGATAAAGTTGCTGCTAAAGCAGTTGCCTTAGCTGAGGTGGTTTTGGCTACTTCGCATATCTGCTTGCCAGATATACCTAATTAACCTCCCTTCACATTAGCTTGACTTAAATGCTTTCAGAACTGATTATTATAACCTAGAACACATGTGCTTGCCAACTGAAATACAAAATACAAGTATACTAGAAAAAATGTTAAAAAAAATTTATAGTTTTGACCCAACTGGTTTTAATCTACTGGTGGTATTACAGACAAGAGAACAACATAATGTAATTACTTCCTTGGTATAACACAACAGTATCCATGGTGTCTGAAGACTCTAGATAGCTGGTTTTTTGTTTTGGTTTGGTTTTTAAAGTTTTTGTTGTTTGTCCGCTCCCCTTTTTCTACACACAAAACAATAGCCAAAGCTCCCTCTCTTTTATGTGGGCAGAATAATGTTATCACATCCACGTTCTTTATACTGAAAGCGACCCTTCACTTACACTATCCTTCAGCATTCCCATTGAAGGGTGTGTCCAATAACCTCAGCTCCAGATTTAGTGCCTTTTACTTTTTACGATCTTCCAACGCAGCCTCACTGAATAAGTCTCAAGCTTGAAAGTCTCCATTAGTAAATCACAAAATGTTGGCTTACAGAAGCAGATGACAGCAAGAATAGGATGAATGACGTTTATGTTAATCTTCGCCTGCCTACTGGAAACAGTCCCCAGTCTGCCTGCTCAGTGCTGCCCAGCAGTTCTTGGGAGGGCACTGGTTAGCTTGGCCAAAGGCACACAAGATGACAGTCTAATAGTACAGCAGGGTTCAATAGTGTAGGCAACTGAATGTAGTGCACAACGATGCGCTCAGATGCCGCAGTTAAATTGTTCCACTCTCTTTGTCTATGTTTACTGTAGTTAAGGGACATTTTAAAAAAATTAATCTGAAGACTAGTTTCTTAGTGGGGATTCTGGTCTCCCTCCCATTCTTCTTTTAGGAGTTGGACATCTTTCCTCAAAGGGGAAAAAAAATACAGCACTGATTCAACTGTGATGCTACTTAATTCTGAAACTAAATGCTTACATTTAGCCATCAAGATCTAATATATTAGATGTTCTGTGGCAAATTTCCTATCGCTTTTTAGCCCTTCATGGAATGAAACAGAATACTCACTTAAAAGCAATTTTTATATACTGCTTTTGAGTTCACATATCTTACTGTCTCTCTCTCCCTCTTCTTAAAAAGTGAGATCTTCAAAGTGTTATGGCTGCTGCTTGCAGACAGAAAACCTGCTGGTACAGGACACAACTGCAGTTGCAATGTTGAAAATCTCCCACAGACAGAAGAGGAAGCAGAACAGTGAACAAACTCTTACCTTCTGCCTAAACGACCCTGGTTTTAATTAGAATCTACAGAGCTTTATATAAAAGCCATAAACTCTCAGAAAAACAATCATTACGTACAATTTTAAAACAACAGTTTAAAGAAATAGTTGCTCCTGTTATATTTTGAAATCCAGATGCAACACAAAGATAGAGGAAATATCCAACTTGAACACGGACTGCTGGCAAAGCCTTTAAGTGTATGGAGCATTACTGTAGATACACAAAAGAACACTTCAAGTAATGTGAACACTAAGCGCCTTTTTTTTAATTTAAGACTTTGCTTGATAACCTTATTCTCAGTTTTGTTATTCTCCAGTGTTTAAACAGGAAAACAGTGTTCTTAAAACCAATTTATTTATACCTAATAAAAATACTTAATCTTTAAACAGAATCTAGTAGCATATTTTTTAAAGAGCAGGTAATTTTTATATCTTCATTATTCAGTGTGACTTAAATTTAACTACTTGTCAATTACTTAGTGTTCTTTATTACGATCAATCAAAAACTAGCAGAGAAACCTAAACCTCATGCAACACTTCTCAAAAAGGAACAAAAATATTTACTTATTAAATATTAATAGTGCACACAAAATCCACATGGCATCAGCATGCTTCAAATAGCCATGTGCTTATAATATGTTTCTATCATTCCAAGCTATAAAAACCTCATCTGCTTCTCACAGCTGAAGCCTCTGAACATCTGTCAGCTAGTTTTCAACACTTTTTTTTTTTCCTCCTTTACTTTTAATTAAACTACTAGATTAGGCATTTGAGTTTCATAAACTCAACAGGTCCAACTGTCAAGTATCCTCAGAAAAGCAAGGCTGGCTGGTTTTACTCATCAGATGTCACTAATGGCAAGAAGCAGTAGAAGTCTTAAGTAGCTTTAAAAACAACTCCTTACCATTTTTATGGCATCATCTATTTCACCTGTAAACTCTTAAGGGCAGAAGTTGCTCTTATTCTATTTGGATAGTTAAAAAAAAATGTTGTATCATTCATTTGCCTCTTTAAAACAAGAAAATTTCCCTTCCTCATTGAGTTTAAAAGCATGTTAGACAATGTGAACAAATTCAAATTCATCAGCAAGTCCCCAATCCACACTGCTTCCTTGTGCAAGTCACTATTTATTGCCTTTCAGCTGCTATTATAACAACCAGCTGAGGAAGTCAGGATAAAATTGCGGATGAGACTTTCTGGTTCCCTTATGAAAAAAAGCACTGCAATTAATCATTTGCAGAACAGAAAATCTGGCATCAGGAGACTTGGTTTATTATCTGGTTTGAGAATCTAAAGCAAGTTTCATCTAATAACCTTTTTTTAACACTCTGAAGTTCACAAAAAAATCTTCAGAAAGAAGTGATTTTTGTTACTGTCTGCCTTCAGTAATAAATAACACAAAAATTAAGGTTAAAAATATATTGAGTAAAAAATACACAATGAGTATATTGTATATACACATACGTATAAGTGGTATCAACCTTCTAAAGGATATACTGAAACCAAAATCACCATTATTTCAAAAGAAAGTAATTGCAAGAAACCAACTGGTGGTCTCTACTACAATGAGCAACCACTTCAAGTGCACAGAAGCAGGACTAAAAGCAGTATCTCATTTGAGCACCCCCTCAATACAGTACAAAGCAATTCTAATTTGGCATTTTATATTGACAATTGAAAGAGTTACAGGAAAGGTAAAGATACTAAAGACTTAATGCAATTATTACAGAATATATGTGAGGAAAAAGGGACTAAGTAGAACAAGATCATCAAGAATTTTTCAACAAGTCATTTTTAAGGTTCCAGAACTATCTACAAAGGTATTGAAGTAGATCAAATAATTGCCATAATTAAAATGAAAATTTTTGATTCAGAATAGCATTAAACCTTTTAGCTGAATTCTCTTCAGAGTTAGAAAACTAAGGTTTTATCAGACTCATTTTGCAGACTAACATGAAAACATATTGGTCCCAGGCGTGAGAGTTGACAGTATGACAAATAGTGTAAGGGATAACAATAAGATTAAGCTAATGACCCTGCAATATTACAACATGTATATAATACTGCCTGATCTTCCCAACAGCTAACACCACTTTTTTCACTGATCTCTAATCTCTAGTAGCCATTAGTAAGTCAGGATGTCTGGTGAAAGAAAACACAAAGTACTTTATCGCAGTAAGGAGAAAGTTTCCTACGATCTATTTATAAACTGGTCATTGAAACACTTCTGTGCAGAGTCAGAAAGCATAACTTATTTTCTTCAAAAAATATGTATCTGTAGGTATTAGATGCAATAGACCTCACTGAAAAATAAGCATACACCTTGGTTCTCAGTCTTACCTCAGCCCATTTAAGAATACAAGTCATGCAGAAGGTATGACTGCAGTTCTCAGGAAAACCAATCTCTTGTTCTAGAAGGCAGTTCAGACAGATGGGGCATGTGTCACCGTCACATAATGAAGTAGAACAGGAACAGCTTCCTTCATTTTCTTCACCTGGTATTATTAACATTGACACTTAAAATTTTTGACAGTTTTTGAAACAAAGTCTTTCTAAATTTGAATCACAAAGCAATAAGATAGAACTTTCTGTAGCTAAAAGCAAACCAATGCAGTCGAGACACTGGCCAGAGGAGTAGTTAAAAGAATGTATTTCAGGTGACAAATACTACGCAACATATTTCATAGATTACTGTACCAATATTTGCCATTAAAACAAAGGAAAGTTAGCTCTACTACTATTTAAAGAAAGCAAGGTTCACAGTGTTTCCTGTTGGCCATGTAGTCATTTAGACACTGTTCTCCTGAGTTCTTTCTCTCAGATGTTTGCACTTTCTCCCCATAAAATAAATTAGACCAACATATTCTATATTATCTTATATACACATGGTCTACCTTTATTTTAGTTTTCCAGTCTTAGAACTATTTTAATCTGAACATCCTCAAATATTTACCTAATCATGTATATTAAATAAAAAATGCTCCCAGTTTTGTTAAAGTTAGAAATTGTTTTCAGAATATAAAAATGCAAGAACTTTTCTTCAAGGAATTTTACTCTAAATTAATTATTTTTTCTGACTAACAATTGCTATCCCCATTTTTGTTCTGCTACTAGAAGTCAACAAGTAAAAAGACACAAGAACGGATTTGGGAACCCCACAGGCCAAAGAAAAATATTATGCAGAGATAGTGGTTGTGTTTACACAACTTCTTTCAAAACAAGCAGCATACTAATTGAGAGAGCAAATGTAAAATCTGACCTTCACAGCTTGAACCCAAATAACATACTTGAATAATTTCACACACACAGACTTTACCTTCCATGCCTTCATGCTTCTGACCCTCAGTATCTTGAATACATTGCTTTCTGTTCTTCATCTTCTTAAAAAATACAGTCTGGAAAAACATAGAAACAGTTTACACAGCTCATTTAGACTGCAACTTGAAAATAAAAATGACCGCTGTGGATTTAATGAGTGCTCTCCAACTTTCTCCCATTTCATTACACCTTTGTAGAGTAGAAACACATGACATTAAGAGTTAGATATAGATAATTTACAATCTGTTTGCAATTTACAAGCATCATGAGTGTTGTCTAGTAACAGATACTTCCAACTTGAAAATTGTTTTCATTCAACAAATGAAAAGTTTTTGCAGTGTTGTTTTTTTTTTTAAGATCACCAATGGTGCTTTTATTTTTAAAAGTTAAACGCGTTGCTAATTCATATGCAAACCACCCCACCTAACACTGCAGTAATTAACATCTGCAAATCGCCCTTCACAAATGGTTGAAGCAACAAAGTCAAACACACAAGCACCAGAAGAGTCAGTTGCTTTCCACACCTAGCACCATCATAGTAGTAGCAAGTGAGAAAAACGAGAGCAGCTTACATTTACTTGCTTATCGCTTTTGCCATACAATTAGAACTATTAGCACTCAGAAAAAAACGCGGGGAAAATTATATCACCAAACAATGGACAGGTCCCAAGCACAGGTGCAGTGGAGTACCACGAATGGGGAGGATGCACCTTGTAACTTTTGCAAAAGAGAAGTATGAAATAAGAATAACATGCATAGAGAATATCCTTGTGATCCACATCACATAGCTTGAAATTATTTGATCTCACATAAGAAACAGCAGGTGTATGCTCTTTGGAGGCTTACCTACTTTCATGTAAAATGATAAACACTTGAAAAAAAACAAAACAAAACAACTATCTACATCAAGGACAATCTCCTGCATTTCAAACTCCTGTAGTCACAGCAGAGATGGTATAAGCACCTAAAGCTCCAACCCAACAGCCCAAGAGGGACTGGCAGTTTTCTTCAGAACTATATAAAGCTCTAAAAATTATTATTTAAAAGGACAAATTAAAACTTCCCAAGAGATTGAAGAAATCAGAAATTATCAAGATCTGCTACTTAAGCATTCAAACCTGAAGTAAACCAACCGAGGTTTCAAACTCCTTACTCTTCAATGCCTTTACTAGAAAAAGCAGCAGGACAGAGCTGAGAACATCGCAATCACACTCAACTAAACTTCCTCTTAAACTTTGTCACTTACAAATTACACTAGTTTCCCTTTACCACCTGGATATCCAGGAGGGGGAGAGACAGAATTTGCCTCCCAAAACTTTTCTTCTGATCAAGTCTCTACTGCTTGATCTTGGCAGCAGGAAGTGTTTTAATGATAATTTCATTTTTACCAAGAAAAGAAACTTTCCCACAAATATCCATCATAAAACACACTTCCCACTTTCTTAGGGAATCCAAGGAAGCAGGACTCTGATCTGTGAGTCTCGAACACAGACAGTTCATTAAAGAAATGGTCAAAATTGTGAAACTAATTAGAAATATGTAATTGGAATTCTAAATGGCTTCAATGTTCCTACTAGAAACTACTTTTTAATCCCTCAAAAGGAACATGTGAATTAAGTCAACTGAAGGTGGGGGAAAGGGAAGGGAAAAGGAATCAAACACCTAGTTATATGGTAATTTTCCCCCTACGCTGCTATCTTATTTTGATACAAAATATGACTCTAAGAGGTATCATTAGGATAAATGCCATCAACTGCAGAGCAGCTACTAGCATTAATATTAATACAGACTGTGTTGCTGTGAATGCCATAGGTTGTATGCAAGTTGTTAGCAGAACCACTGCTGACCAGACCACCACCTATATCCCTTGCAGGCTAGGCAAGATGAAATCCAAGAAAAGCCAAACCACTACTTTAAAATTTAATGCCTTAAACAAGCAAAATCTGCATCTAATCAGGACAGGTGAGGCCATCAAGAACACATTTGAACTTAGAATATGAGATCGAGGTCTGTTGTTTTCACTCTGATTTGCAAAAGGACTTCAGTGGCTTTGGTCCCAAAAAGTTTAAATCATGTGGTGGTGCGTGGTATACATGCTTTATATATAAAACATAAGGGCATTCCTTCTGCTCTACGTCTTAATAAAACCTCAGCAAGCAATGCTTTACAGAAGCAGAAAAAAAACCACAAACTGCACTCAGACCTCTCTCAACTCTGAAAGTCCCAGGACATTTCACAGCTGAGACAGTTTAAAGACGACATTAAGAATTCTGCACTCTGCATCCATCCACAGAACAAGTTTTAAATAGACACAATTTAGATACCAAATCGTAACTTAAGCAGTAGGTGTAGAGTTCATGCTTATTATAACAGAGTTCTTGAGTTCGCTAAGGCAGATTGCAGAAATAGAACCCATAGAAGCCCTTTAGATTTGTTTATCCCAGAAAAAGAAACCTTTTCTCCATTGTACTCTTTCTAGACACAAAGACATCCTAGAAATTCTTGCACGATTCTAATAATTAGAAAAACAGACCTCCTAAAATTTTGACAGAACATCAGTAAATCCAAGATGTGCAGCAACTGAGAACATTTATTTGGTGTTACATCGTTCTTCTCACAATCTTATTATTTAAACAGATACTGAGTGCTGCTAATGCATTTCACAGATCACTCTGCACAGCACAACTTTTTGTCAGCTTGACACTGTACATTTTGCACAACACAGCAGAGCTGTGTTTAATACTACTGAAATATAAATATTTATAAATAAATGACATCATCAAAATTTACACACTATTTAACAAATTAACTTTGGAAAGACTACTTTCTCCGCTACTTACTTTAAAAGGGGCATCACAGGCATTGGAATAGCGGAAGAGTTAACACTAAATACTGTTGTTAAATTTATAAAATTATAACCACGAGTTAGGAAAAGAGAACATAGTGGCTTAGGAGGAGCAGATAGCACAGAAAACAGAACTCTTCTTTGTCACAAAATGTGACATATTCCTTTAGATTCTTTTAAACTTCAAGAAGACTTGGAAGTATTTCTCAGACTTTGCTATTCCAGCTGCATGCCATACAAGAAATCTGTAGTCTTGGCTGGGGTGGAGACAGTGAAAGCAGCGAGATAAATCTGTCATTCTGCCAGCTACCAAATTGTATGAGCTCACGTGAAGATCGTTATCATGTCCATATCCATGGCTAATCATGTCCGATCTGGCTAATATGTATTTGAAGAATGCAAATATCCAAAGAGTGCTTCTATGAGATTCCATTGACTCATGACCAACACATTTTAGTTATGATCATTCAGTTGTTGATGTGAAATATTGGAAAATACCCCAAAACCCACCACACATGCAAGGCACTCAAGACAGCAACAAGCACTATTATACTATGTTGGTGCTGGGAAAACCAAAGTCAAGTCCCCTCATTCCAGTTAAAATACTTTCTAAGAATGTCTAAAGACAGCATAGCATTACAGCCAAGATGGTACTTTTCTGGTGCTTCTAAATTTTCACTGGAATTACTTTGTAAGATAAATACCCTATTTAATTTCATATTTGAGATAAAGGCAAGAATACTCTAGTATATTAAACCGAAAGCAGTGAATAAGAGCATTACCACAAGTACACATCACCACCCCATCCCCTCGCTATTTTTAAAATGACTTAGAAACTTAAATTTTAGGTTATTCCTCAGAGGAAATTCTTGTTCTTGTCTTCATGGAATGTGGATGCCAAAGACATCTGCCAACAAAAGTGCTTAAACTGAGTTAACTGTAGAATGTGGGAATAGATTCATCACTGTCTGCAAAATGTAGCTTCATGATGTACTTAACTCCATAAAGCAGACTGATACAAGTGTCATTTACACACTAAGCAATTTTCTATATCTGTCATGGTTTGATGTGGGGGCGGGAGGTCCGGGTGGCAGAAGCTGCCCATCAGACCGGACTCCCATCCCCCTTCGGGCCTGAGCCAATCGGTGCCTCTGCGAATTGCCCTATTTACGTTGGGACAAAGCAACCAGAAAGGGGTACCCTTGCCCAGGAGCGAGGAGAAGGGAGGGGGGTGCTGCCCCTGCTACCCGGTGCCCAGCCGGGCCGGTGGCCCGGGCCGGGCTGGGGCCATCCGCTGGGGATGGCCGCGACAGAGCCGCTTGGGGAACTCGGGGAGAGACCTGCTCCCAGGGTGCCCACCAGACCGAGTTCACCCAGAAAAGACTGAGATCTGAGACAAACGGCCACACAGATCATCCAGGTCAGTGAAGATGGAACGGAACAACGCGTGCTGCAGCTGAGTCCCCCTTACAAGCGGCCCCTTTACAACCATTCCTCGGTGGAGCAAGCAGAGACCCACTCGCAGCCCGTGGAAGATCCACGTCGAGAAGAGACGCCAGAGCCTAAGCACGGTACGCATCTAAAGTCCGTGGGACAACCCCCGCCGATGCGGAGGTGTTTTGTTTAAAGGAGATGCCTGAGCCTGAGACTATTGTGAATCATGGGCACAGGTCGAGGCGCATTTATGCCTTTACGCATCTAAGTCTGGGCGCATTTAAGCATTTATGCATTGAAAGTCTGTATGGAGACGCATTTAAGGTTGATATGATGACCCATGCCAGAGCGAGTGGCAACAAATCCTTAAAAGTCTGAGACTGTGGTAAAGCCCGCACTTGGGGCAATCCGATGGGGTAAGGATTTGCCTCCCACAGGTAGGACCTCACGCTTTCCCCGTGAGTAGGGGATCCACTGGAGCAAGGGACAATGGTGTAAGGACTCCTTCTCCTTTAAGAGAAGCGGCAGTAACAGCATGGAATGAACTGACCTGCACTCCCCCATTCCCTGTCCCCTGCGCTGCTGGGGGGAGGAGGTAGAGCCGGGAAGAAAAGGCAAAGGGGGGGAGTGGTGTTGTTTTTTTTAAGATCTGGCCTTGTTTTCTTGTTATCCTCTCAAGTAACCATTTTTGTTTGCTTTTCTCTTTGTAGGTAGCTGTTAATAAACTGTTTTGCTTTAAGAAAACAGCCTCTTTTGCCTGTGACCGTGGTTGGTGGGTGC